ACACATCATTTTAAATAATGTACAGGTAAAATAAAATACTTCCTGTAAATAATGTAAAAATTAAAATATTTAAAGGTGTTGGCCTGGTTTATGCTGTCACATTTATGTATATGCCCTCAGAAGACTGTACTCTTTTCCACAGGGTTTTGGATTATTTGCCATTGGGAGAACAAGGATCTATGCAGATTATCTTGAAATGGAGGAAGAGGGGCTGTGGCTGATTGACATGATGCAGTATTCAAAGAAAAGGGTTCATAGTCTTAAATCTACTGTTTTCATATAGTAGTGAATCAAAGTACTTCACATACCAGACTGTAATTCCATCAGAGTGCTGGTCAATAGACCTCCAGAAGTTAGATACAAGCAAAATATTAAAAATAAATCTAATGAAGTAGAAGATATTCACATCAGTCCAAAGTACCAAAAGAAGTAAAGTAACCAATAAACCTTAGGACTGATTTTATTTTAAAAATATTTCAAACTATTTGTAAATCAGTATATTTTTTATTATTTAGTTATTTTAACTAATTTAAAAACCCAGTCAATACATTTATGAAACACATACCTTCTATCACCTCCATCTACAGTTTTACAGCTCCAAAATATTCAACCCACTCCGCACAGTGAAGATGAGGTGGAGGGATGCTTGATCAAAAACCGAAGGGAGGCATCTGAGCTCAGTACAGTATATGTATTCTAGTGACGTAATGATGGGGCCTAGTACATTTGTGGGAGATTGAGTTCTCGTTGTTATCTCTTCCGATCTGCAGTTAATAACTTCCACTTGTGTGGTACAGGTATTAAAAATGCCTGTATTAATTAGTGCCCCTTATCCTACAAAATGGACTTCCACCACCACAGGCACCAACATGACTGACATTGCTAAACACAGAGGATATTGAGGCATCTGGACATGTGCAAATGTAGCTTGCAAAATAACAGCCCCGATGTGAGTGGAGACCACATAGCTGATCCACTCATCAGGCTGGAAATTTGGTCAGTACAGTGTTTTACTGTATGTTACTACTTTTGCTGACTCAGTATTCTTCAGGGTTTCAAATACTTGCATCGGTATTTTCCTCTTTTCAAGATTAAAGACATTAAATTCCTATCCATGTATGGTACATTTTGCAGACCAATTTTATGGTGTATTGTGTATTGTCAGTTTTGCCCTGATTCAAATTCTGAACTTTTTATTTCATATACAGATCATTTATTAGGGTTTGTAATGTCTCCAGACATCTGTAGATGAAGACATTAATAATCATTAATGAAAACTACTTCTTTTCAAGTTCACCTCCATCCATTTGATATTTAGAATTTACAGACAGTATGTCTGCAATAAATATAACAGGTCACATATTTTATTTTTCCCACAGTGTTTGGTATCCGTGCTGCCTTCCCATACAATTTTTGTGCCATCTGCAAATTGCATAATTCCCCACTATCCATCCAGGTATGGAGTTTAGATTAGAAATTAGAGCAGCAGGCCTGAAAAAGATCCACCGATTATCTCTGCTCAGTTTGTGGTTTCTCTCCTTATCAGCTGACAGCTGCAGACAGCACTTGGAATTTGCATCTGAGCAAATGTTATTTGATAAATGCCAATTTTAGGCACTAATGCATAACATACTTCTACCCAGGCACAAATGTTTTGAAATATTCAAATGTTGTTTTAAAAATCTGGACAACTTGAACTCTGCAGTGTAAATATGAAAGCACCGCACAAAGATCCTTTAGGTTTAGTAACCATTTGAATGTTTCTATATATATCAGAGGTGCTAATTGAATTGGAATAATTCTGTATGTTTTTGACCGCTTTTGTCCTGCCTTCAGGTTCTTGATGGAACTGAAAGTTAATTTAACTCAAACTATGTAAAGGAAATAAGGTTGTATTGTACTGACTGTAGTCCATTTTGCTGTATTGAAAATTATCATTTTAAACTGATTAGTGGACATTGGTAATCATTTCAATTTGGTCAGTAGGTAACTCCTGAACCATTCATCAATTTAACAGTTCACATGTGTCAAAATAATTTTCAAAATAATTCTACCCCTTAATATCACCCTGTTGCCTTGAAAAAAGTAGTTTAGTTTACAGACTACAATTGCAGGAATCTGCATTACAAGAATATAGCAATGCCAAAGATAAATCTTTACTCTTTTCCATCATCTGTCAAACAGAAATGAATTCTGCGGGTAGGGGAAAGTTGAATCTTTCTGGTCAGGTTGTCTGATAAAAGCAAATCTGTATCTCAAGTTCAAAACACTAATATACTTAATTGCTTAATGGGTTAGCCCAAAGCTCTAGCAGATAAAATCACTGTACCAACAACGTTCATATTAAAATGTATATAAAAATGTTTTATTTACATTTTGAGGATATCAGCTGTTTTACTTTGAGTATTTCTTGTTGTTTTAAGATGGATCATTCGAATTAAGGTCCTTTTCTAAACTGTAGATTAGTAAATAAGCAACTACCAGATGTTGATGTGAATATTGTGCTATATTTCAAATAGTGAGAGCTTCACTTGAAGAAAAACTAAATAGATTACTAAAACAGTATTCATAATTAGCAATCGCCTATTTAAAATTAAATCATGCATTTAAAATTCATGGAACAAACATTATTAATCTTAAGTGTGTATGGTATTACTGAGCATCACAGTGATTGCTTTTGAGAGCTTTAAAGTGTCAAAGTGGGTCTTTCAGTAGTGACCAACATGATCAGAAAATATTTTGTTTCATATTCAAATGTATATTGTTTATTATTCACTAAAGCAAGTACACATGAATAAATAACAATCTCAGCTTTCATGTTAATTTGTTAAAAATTCCAGACACCAAGTGAAACAAGATGGTGGACTTATTTAACCTAATCTAGGGGTTCCTAACTGCTTTAAAGAAAAAAGATATGAATACCTTCAACCATTCTTCAAAAACGTAATCACTTAGGAAGGTATATATAGTAATGTATATACAGTATATATAAAAATGACAAACAGTGTTCTTAATTTAACCCTGTTCTTAAGCTTGCTGTATACATTTTTATATCGAAGATCTGTCCCACAATAAAGCATTTTTAAATGACTGGATTATTTCACAATAATTATTAGACAGAGATATACAAGATCAATGACATCAAAGCATAGGTAAAAAGGAATAAAGAACATCGAAAGATAAAGATGAAAGCAGAAATTAATGGTACCCATTTTTGAAGGATCCCAGGAATCTAATATACACGGTGCTTGACAATTTGGATTTGTATTCTATGATCCAATCAATTCTTTTTCCCCTTTGTTTCTCACACTTTATTTTGTGTGTGTGTATCCACCACAGTATCATTATGATCAAATCAACCTTCCCAAGAATATCAATGTGGGGGCTACGTAGGGCTAAAATTAGTAACTGAACTCATAGAATGTTTTGAAACGATTCTACCTTTCAGCTAGTGTAAGAGTGGAAAAACAGAAACACCCGGCAAAAGAGCAATACAGGTAAGGACAGGTTTAATAGAAAGACAGAAGGAGGATAAAAACAAAAAGCAGGTTCAAAAATCATGGAACTCTCCCACACATTATAATTTAGCATTCCTGTCTCTATTTCAGTCTTTCAGAAAATGTTTTCCTTTGGAAGTGCTAGAGCCCAGCAAGCACTCATCAGCAGGGTTATTAGCTAGACACAGAAAAACAATCTGCTGTCAGGGGTGGAAACGTGAGACATGATAATCCCAGATGTTTGCCTGGGCTAAAAATGTAGGATGTTATTTGCCCAGGCCACACTTTAGGCAAGTGATATATGTCAGATGTAAACTCTAGCACATACATTTTAAACAAATCCAATCACAGAGATAATATAAATGGATTTGCACAACTGGAAACTAGTCTCTGAGGAGGACAAGCAAAGCCAAACTCTTTGAAGCACAATTTAAGAGGAAATTTAATTTACCCTTTATTTTACCCTTTTTATCATGACAGGGTGACACCTTCGTTTTGAAAGTTGAGTATAAAGGTTGCACAAGCTGGTGTGTAAGTAAAGTGATGGGTGAATGAGAAGGAGGATATCTGTATATATCATCCCTTTGTGCCCACAAAACCTTTCCTTCTAAAGGCTAACTTGAATGAAAAGGTTGTTTCTTTCACTACAATACTATACATTAAAATCTATTAATTAATCATTTCTGACCAAGAAGCTGTTCATTGCTTATTGCACACACAGGTTCATAACAACATTTTGATTCTAGTGTGCTTACTGTACATCAAATCAATATTGTATGATAAGAATTCTCAAAGTTTTTTTTTTTTAATTTGCTGCTCTACTGGGGCATGTAGTTGTTTCTGTCTAAAGGAATGTGCTGGGTCCTACAACGCTATACTTCTCGGCTAATTAAAAACAATTAACAATGTAGACAATTAACCGTGGTCCTTATTTGTTATTTCCTCTGCCCTATATCTGAAATCAGCACAACACGAGACTAAATGACCAAAACAGAGCTTTTAAGAAGAAAAAAACATAATTTTACCCCCCTTTCTTTATCACAGCATGGTTACAGTTTTACCCCGCTGTGATAAAAAGCTACAAAATCTGATATTTTGTACTGTAGAAATGCCGACAATTTTATTGGTGTATCTACGCTGCATAAATGTTACCTTCTCTAGGCACTGACATTGTTCTTTATGTTTGTTTGAAATTGTACCTGGTTGTTTTTACATTTGACACCTGGAGAATCTAAAAACACAATTATGATTACGGTAGGCATTTACATAAACGCCCAGGACGCGGTATTTTTCCAAAAAACCACAGAGCACGCTTGAAGATGTCTGAATATATTTAATATATCTCGCAATGTCAGTCAAAGATACACATTGAAACAGGAGACTCACCCAACACTTCACATAACAAACCTGGAAAGACCTGGAGGGAAAACAGTCAGGGTACAGTACTGTATATATAATGCACAGGAAATTCTGGCTGCCAGCAGAGCAGCTATGAGAGAACTTTTCCAGCGAGCTTCACCTAACGCCCATCATGTGAATGTTGGATCCAGTGAAACGTGTTTGGAAAGAAAATAATTCCGGCTTTCTTCTCAATATTACAATGAAAACACGACGAAATCAGATATTTCGAGAGGTGTATTTAAAAAAGCTTTTGAAGAAAGAAGCGTTTTTCCTTCTAGCTTCACAAGAACGGAAATGTGAGTAATTTGACTTTACTACTGAAGTATTCAGAGAGCCAGAAAAATGGCATTTTAACAAACCAAGCTCAAGGGGAATCGCGCATACATTCTGTTGATTTTTAGTTTAAAAACTGGAATGGCGATTTTAATTGGAATTAATATTTAAACCTCAATAATTCATTAATAATTGTGAGGGTATCTGGATGGTCTGGTACTGTTATACAACATGAATTACGCCTACTGTACTACAGAATACCGGCACACCGGCTAGGGTCTAGTGAAACGGCAGAAACAATCCACAAAGCGTCTATCGTTCTTACCGTTAGTTAGATAAATATGAATAAATTACTTTGTATGGAATAGAGATTATTTCCCACAAGTATATAGTTATAAGACAGTCTATTCTTAAGAAAATGTATTCGAATAGAATATATCATAATTAGGTTTTGTCTGCCACACATGTATTCAGAAAATGAACAATGTGACATTAGCGATTGTAGCTGCATGATCATTTTTAATAAATTTTTATGCACCACCTAAAATTATGGAATTAATATTCCTAGACAGGAAATGACAGAAATCTCCCGAATTTATTAGATTAATGTCATGCTACAGCGAAATACAGAGGGATGGAAGTACGTTATTGTACTATACAACTGGGGATTTAACAAAACCACTAACGGTTTTTTTTTAATTTAGGAGAGAATCCTACAGAAAGTACAATAAATACAGGTATATATTATTTTTTGTAGTGTAATAATGGAGAAGAGCCCGTTCAAATTTACGTTCACACATTACTTTAATTATGTTACGTACTGTAATCTTTCAAGAAAATGTTAAATACTCAAGTTAAGAATTAGACTTGTATTTTTACTGCTTTCCAGTAGTTTGTATACATTGTATTATGGGATATCCAGAAAAATATCCTGTAAAAGTTAACCGACTTCAATGGAAATTCATAGATTCTCTCAATCACTGAAAAAAAAAAGATGTTTTTTGTCTATGAGTTAAAAATTATGTGGGAAAACTGGATTAATTATAAGTTCCCAAACCTTTGTTTGGTTCACTAGTCAATCTGCCAGCAGCAACTAACAGTTTATAAAAAGACTTGACATAATGAGTTCAGTTTACTCAGAACCATCAGAACTCCCAATAAGCAATTCTTTGTAGAAATTTTCTAGAACATTTCCCTTCAGTGTGATTACTATCAGTCAGATACAGTCAGTTTGGATTAAACTATACTACACACTAGTAGTACACACACTAATAGGCTTTTTTGGAGAGTGATGCTGCTACTCATGCGTTCAGTCTATTCACAGGCACTGTGGGGGCACTTTATTGCCACTACAACAATACCTACCAAAACAAGGAGCTTAATAGCCAAACAACTTTTGAACTGTTAATGCATTGTTTTGACAATAATTTGATAATCCAGTATGGGTCCACATACTGTACTGTACTGTACTGTATAAACTATAATGTCTCCAACACTATCCTTGCAACATTTGGAGCAGATCAGCTACATGGTGTTTAATCAGGGGTTAATCAGGGCCAGACTGGAATTTGGGAAAAATAAGAAAGCTTTAAAAACAAGGCAAAGAAAACGCATTTAAATCACAGTTGGCCTAAGATGCTTGGAAAGCTAGTAAACATTTTTGAGTAGGTTTGAGGGGGGAGCTGTTTTAGAATTAATTGAATGGATAGGAAAACTTAAAAGTTAATTCTTGGATGGCAGCTGAAGAAAACATAACCGGCAAGATGTGTTTCTTCTTTCCACTCTTCAGTGTGTGATTAACCTTAACTTCTTCAATTTTATTTTGAGTAAATAGCTGTTCACTTTTTAGAGAGTTCCACATTGGCTGTAACGGAATCTTAAGTGACAATGTGCTCATTTCTTTTTGCTATAGTCATCTGGTGGTCATGTTTTAAAACTAAACTTGTATATCCATTTGTATAAATGTCCATTACTTTTATTGTATATTTGCAAGATCTGGTGGGTTTTGGATGAACTTGTGTGTATTATATTTAGATGGATCATATTATTATCCTGAGCAACGTATAGAATGGTTCAAAGACGATGAAAATCTGCAAGGTCTGTCAAATTCCATTGGATCACATTGGGGCTCACAAGATGATCCAAAAGACCAAACAATTTACAAATCCTCCAAGTCTCTGCCATATTCTTGACAAATGACTAGTTGGAAAAATAAAGGACATGTTAATAGTTTAGGTCCAAGTTGGGTTTTTTTTCCAAAGCCTACAGTATGTCAGGAAAGAGTGTATAGGGATTTTAGGGAAAGAGTGTATAGGGAAGTTGCCTTCTTTTGTTACAACAATGATTTAGCTAATATACAGTAGAACTATTAAAGTTACTGGTGTTTTTTTCTTGCATTTTCTTTCCTTAGGATCCACATCGATTCACATCTGCCAAACTGCTACAGTACTTATGCAGCCCTTACGATTTACAGGAAGTCTGCCAGTCTGAGAAACCAGTCAACTGCGTTGTGACCTCCTCTGTGTGAGGAGGACTTCTGATGAGGACTTCTGGCTTTTTAATAATCTTTTACTCTCTTGAGCTACATGAGATCTATTCATTGTGTGTGCTGTGCACAAACCAAAAGAAGACCAAATGAAAAATAAAGAGCTATCTAGAAAATAGGTGTGAGGGCACAACAAAATAGTGTAATGGAATCCTCTTTAAAATTTTGCAGCTTTATCAAGTTGGAATTTATCCAGTGTGAGAGTAACTGAAATAACAGTTGTATTTTGTGGTGGAGATTTCTACCTTAGCTTGAAAATCTATAGAGACAAAAAATCATCCTGTTTCAGTGAAACTGATAATGATTCATTTCCACAAACTGCAGATTGTACAGGCCAACCATGATGCAGTGCAGTGATAAAGTCAATATAATAAACCCGGTCACAGGAGTTTATTAGTAGAATAATATGAGTGAACAGATACAGCCTTTTGCTTGGCACGTATCAACATTTCTCAGTTGTGTAGAATTTCATGTGACTTTTCATTAAGAAAAGGTGAAAATACCAAAAGCGAAAGGTCCTTATGACTGACAACTGGTAAGAGCCCTGATAAAAGTCGCGAATGGCAGAACAGTTTTCTTCAGCCATTTTTGTCATGCTTGCACCAGACAACATCAGTCACTTATAACCAGACCATTTCAATCAAGTGTTATTAGGTCTAGCAACAGAGCCATGTGGTATTGAAGGGAGCCACCTGGATATTTTGAATGGATCAATAAGAAGAGATTCAGTGTTCCTTTTATGTACACTAAGAAGGTTATTCTTTTGTATTCAGCTCTTACAGTATGTTGTATCTGAAGCTGGAAAAAATGATCAAGTGGACATTCAAAATTTCAAGGAGTCCCCTTATGATGGTGATGGGGCTTTCTGCCAAAGGGCTAGATGATTTAACGGTACTTTTTAAAATTTCCCTAACAAGTTAGAATCAGCACTCGAATTCGAAGAACCTCTGTTGAATGTTTTCAAGTCCTCAAGCCTAGATTTCTTATCCTCTAAGGTAAGGACTATACTCACCAAGAGAAACTCCCGCCTACAGCTTTTACATGATGAATTTCACACCCCAGATGTTAACCTTTTGGCTGGAGGCCTCCAATGTCTCCAGGCACCAGTTTATTCAGGAGTTTGGGCTCAGTCCACTGGTGTATGTGCCCCGGCTGCCTTCTGCACTTCAGCCTATCTTTAGCATCCTCTATGTACTGATTTTCATTCTGGCACTGGCCGGAAACACAGCTGTGCTGTTCCTGCTTTGTCGGAGGAAGGCTCTTCAGGCTCCCAGCACGTTCTTTGTCTGCTCACTGGCCCTAAGCGATCTCCTGATCTCCATTTTCTGTGTCCCAGCTACCCTCCTGCAGCACTTCTTCACAAACTGGCTTGCAGGTAGGTACGTTGTTCATAAGCACTTTCAAGGAGCTGTTGAAAAGGCTAGGCAGACAGCTTGACAGGAAGTTCCACATGACACTGAGCTAGAATCAGAGGATGGGAATAACTTAAAATTTCTCATTTCAGCAATTTCTTCTCATTTCTTTACAAATTCTTGCCTGTTGACGGGTAACAATTACAGTGAAGGAAAGAAATACAGTAGGGACATCTAGGAATTTAACTTTCACAAATTCAATTTTTGAATTTGCCAGAAGAGATGAGACAGGTTGCTACCAGCAATTCCTTTGTTGGACCATGAAGCACACCCATGGACCAACGTGCTCATTATAGTTTTTCACTCTTCTGATGTTTTAATGATTACTTATCACATTTATTGGCAATCAGCCTTAAGATATTTTTCAGAAGTGGAGTTGTTAGTATTTGGCAAGCTTTGAAGGCCACAGAGATTTTAGCTTGAACACAATTTCCAAACATGTTAAAACAAGGTAGTAAAGAATTTCCATTAAGAAAGCTGTTGTACTCATTCTAGTAAAACATCTGATAGTTCATGCTACACCCATGATTATTTAGTCGTCTAGATCCTAAGATGTCCTCTCTATGTTTAGTTGGATAGGTTACAAATCAGGTTACACATAAGACGTCGTTACTTGTGCTTGGCAGAGAAATATGGGTAATGGCTCAGCCACTGTTAACTTTTTGGATACCAGCTGAAATGGCCTACCATCTAAAATGCAGTGGCTCCATGTTTAATAGCTTACACATTTAAAGACTATTTACTCACCAGGTGGTCTTATGTTAATGGATCACATGAATCAGTGAGAAAGGCTGCCATTCATTAGAGTTGTTTTATTTCAACCAGTCATATACTCTGTTTAGATCATTAAAAAAACAGCCCGTCTCATCAACACTGATAATAAATCAAGTAAGCATGCGTCAGCATGCAGAGGCTGCAAAGGAAAAGGTTCCTTTGCAATAATGATAATAGTTTTGTAATGATGATAAAGGTATCCCTTTCAGTGTTTTGAAATTCAGCTTCACATTAGGTATTATAATCAGTTTTACATCAGCTTTATATTGTATGGTGAGCTTCAACTGAACTTCTGACATTAAAGTGACACAATGTTCTTGATATTTCTAAATGAACTTCACATTTGAAATGGCACTTCTGCCGGAAATCTGTAGCTGAACTTTTACTGTTTTTGTAAAACAAAATTTCTAGATGTGCTTGAGCAAACTTGTTTTACCTGACTTGTTTGACATGTTTTGAACTTTCAGCAGTGATTCATTTGCAACTTCTCAGTTTATGTACAATTGGCTTTTTGTGTCAGATCTGCAATTTTATTTCTGTTTCCTGACAACTTTTTGGCATTTGTTTATCAGTAGGTCTCCTGTCTTGTTGTACTTATGAAATTCATCACATTTCTGACAGTTAAGCCTCAGATATTGACACTAATCCAGTTTGTGGTTCCTTTGAAGTGACCACATAATATTCAATGAGTAACAGTACAGAATATGGGATTCAAATGACCTAGTGAAACCCATCACATGCCATTGTGTTAAAACACCCTTGATTTCATTTCAACCTATTACACTGTAAATACTTCACATTTATTTCCCTATGGCAGCCACACTGCAAGACAATTAATATGTATTAATATTAAAAAATGTATATATTAAAAGTACACTCAATATTAAAAGTATAACAGAAACAGGCATTTACATGACCAGCAACTCAGTGCTAATGTCACAAGAAGCTGTTACACGTTTTACTTTTAAAGCTGTTCATTTTTTTTAATCATAGACCGCTTTGAAAAGAATGTTACTTATTGAAACATAACTGATGTTACATAGCAGGAACCCTTAAAATGTTACTTAATTTTTATTTAGATTTTCTCTTGACATCTGACGTGGACCACAAGACATTATACCATTCCATAACTTTATAAAATAGTGAAGACTGGAGTTACTATTATTAAATTGCAGAATGCTCCATCATGTAGTGACTTTTGTGACAGGATATATACAGGGATAACAATCTAGACGAGTCCAATTCTTATATATTTCTTGGCCTTTTAATAAAAAACTCTTGACCTTTACTGTCAGTGTATATGAAGGTTTAGCGCTCACTCATTTTGTGTTTTACTGTCAAGCTGCAGCCAGTAAATTATTTTGAATGTGTAATAATTGCAGTGAACACATCTGTGCAGATTTACATATAAACTTTACAAATGGCAAAAGAGGTGAGTTGTGCTGGGTGGAATTGGGTTTTTAATGACAGAGTGTATAATAAATCTGTTTAGTGTTCTTTAGCTGCATATACAAGTAGTGCTAGAAAGTTTATGAGCTGTTTAGATTTTTCTGAATTTCTGCATAAATTTGACCTCAAATGGGATCATATCTTCATCTAAGTCATAAAAATAGATAAAAGAACCCAATAAAACAAATCACACACAAAAGGATATACTTTTTCATTCATTTATAGATCAAAATGATCCAATGTTAAATTTCTTCGTTGGAAAAAGGATGTTAACCTATGCTTTCAGTAACTGGTGTGACCTCCTTGAGCAGCAATGACTTCAACCAACTGCTTACGGTAACTGTTGATCAGTCCCGCACATCGACTTGGAGGAAGTTTGGCCCATTCCTCCTTACAGAACTGCTTCAACTCAGTGATGTTGTTTGTGTTTCTTGCATGAAAATTCTAAAGGGTTCAAAAACTTTTTAGCACCACTGCAAGTCGAGGGAAAATGTCAACAACAAAATGTGATATTTGTGTTCAGTTTACAAGGGTTCACGTTCTTCATGGTTGTCAGCATAAATAAATTTCGTTGTTACCACATTCAAATGCAAGAATAGTCTGAAGATTTACCAAGGCAGCAAACATTTCTCTCCCACAAGTCCCAAAATGTTTAGTAAAAGAAATAATGGAAAACTCCTTTCTCTGTCTTCCTGTTCCTCTCTATCTCTCACAGGAGAGTTTCTGTGCAAGCTGGTTGCATTTCTCCAGGTGACTGCCATCTCAGCTAGCATCTTCACCATGATCTGCATAGCAGCAGAGAGATTCCAGGGCATCTTGTACCCACTGCAGTTGCAGAATGGTTACTTCCCTAGTCATGCCATCAAGATGCTGGGTAAGAGCCAAGTCAGGGGGACCACCTTTGATTTTTCACTCATGCGTTTTTTTTTGTTGGGAAGATATGTACCCCATCCTGTGACTCAAAAGTTTTGTTAGTTCCTTGATAAATTTGTTCATTCTTATTTTCTTACGTGGATTTTATTAAGATTTTCCTGGCGCCCCCACAATTTTGTACACCAGTGTCTTGAGATGTAGGTTTCCTTTCTTAACATAGGCTTGGTTGTTTAAGCAGGAACATGGAATGTGCCATTTAGAAATGCTAACTTTATCCATGGAAACAGACTTTTACACAATATGGCTTGTATGAAAATTCTTATATACAGTATATAACTTATTTTTTACTCATTACTATTTATAAATGTATATTTTTAGGAAAAAACAGTGTGAAGATTTAGGTGATTTATTATAATGGTTTTGGTGTCATTGTAATTAATTGAACATTTACAACTGATCCTGTTATACCTGAATCACCTGGATGGCTGATGCACAAGCTTTAAATCACCTCATTATTCAGGAAGTTGATGAGGCACTGGGGACGAGGAGATCAGACCTGTTGAAAATCAAGAAAAGAAACAGAAAGTAACTAATAAGCCTCACTTATCAAGAGAAAATTGCTTTAAGCCTTCAATATGTTTGGAGTGTTCATAGCCAGAAATATCTAAATGAGTAAGAAGTAACAGTCAAATAGAGCCAACAGCTGAATCATACTTTTGTTTCTGTTTTTTAGCAAGAAATTAACCTTTGCTTACTCTTTTGCAGCTCACACTCTGACACAGCTCCTACTTCATCCTCTCTACATACAGTACATGTGTCATGTACTGTGAAGTTACAAACAACAACACGAATATTTGTTTGCACTGAAGTAACGCACATTTCAACTATGCCTGCATGACAATTGTTATGCAAAGCATGAGATTATTTTGACAAAATCTGTTTCATTTTAGGGCAAATAATATACAAACATACTGGTCGGGCACACTGGTGCCAATTCCAAACAGTAATGGTCTTTTGAGGAATACTTTCTTTTTAACTATTAACTTTGTGGTGATACAATGAAACTGCACAGATAATTAAACAGAGAAACAGGGGGCTAGCTTTTTGTAAATGTATTTTTAAAGTGGTTTCTTAAATGACCATTTTTTTCCTTCCAGCTGGTGTCTGGCTGGCAGCTCTGGTTATTGCATGCCCTATGTGGTATGCCCACAAAGTGGAGGTAACTTCCCACTGTTTTAAACCTCAAGTTATAATTCATCAAATTAAATTAAATTCAAATTCAATTAATCAAGTTGTACTTTTTGTCCTTTTCATTTATCTTTTTTTGTGTCCTAAATCTTTAATTATAATTCCCTTACTGTTACTTATTTAGAATTGCAGTGACCAAGACAAATTATGTTTCTGGTAAAGAATATTCTTTAGCGTAATCAAATTAGTGATTAGTGCACAAATTTCAAAAAGCAAAGGTACTGTATGTTTTAGAGATAGCCAACATAAATATACATGTGTACATCAAGAGCTTCCGATCATTCAGTAAGGCTTCAGGAATCATTATTATTCTTTGAATAGTGTTTTATCTCTTCACAAATGACTTGCAATGTCCTCTTAGTCGTAACTATCTCTTCAAAGTACATCAGTCTTTACAGAAATTAAGATTATTAATAAGAAGAAGCCCTGAAACTTTTAAAAGTTCTGCTGACACACAATGGTGAAAATATGGTGTCGACAAAGAAATTAAAAGTTCAGCCTCAAAATACTGTAACAGATTCGGGTTCTAGGGTTTGTTCCCTCACCACACTGGGCACGAACCCTGCTCTCCGGCATGGCTCAACCAGGGGTATTGCTGGCTGAAGAAGACCTTCCTCAGCCCGCGCGGCCAAGATCCCTGTTATGTACAGAGGCGAATTCGTTACAATACCTTTTCAGTCATATTGAATAGGACTCTTATCAAAATACTGCATTATCATTTGTCTGCTTTTTATGTGCTACACACGGTTAGTAGCATAAATACAGAACAGAAATTCTGAAAAACAAATCAGGATAAAGTATAAAAGATATATTTTAATGTTTTAAAAGACCTCTGGGTTGTCATAATGTCTTTTGGATTTTTAGCATTGGATGAATGCATACCACTTTTTAGTAAGAGTGAAAATAACTGTAAATTATATTGTTATGCTCAATGTGATAGTTAATTTAAGATGTCATGCATGCTTAAACAGTTTGTCAAATTAACTTAAAACAGGACTAAGAGGGAGGTGGATGTTTAGGTTAAGAGATGTTTTTTATATATTTAATTTACTTTCTAAAATTCAGGACTGACTTGTTTCCAAAAAAATCAAGAAAGAAACTCTTCAGTTTCAGACATTTGTATTTCTTCATTTCTTACCAAAAACCTACTGCATCGTGTTCTTATATTCTATACCTTCACAGAAACATGCATGGTATTCATACAGGTACATGGTGATTGTTTTGCAGGTGAAGTACGACTTCCTGTTTGATGTGCACTACACCTGCTGCCAGGAGATATGGCCTCATACTTGGCAACGACAAGCATACACTACATTCTTGTTGTTGCTGGTGTTCCTGGTTCCCATGGTTACTATGAGTGTGCTATATGGCAAAATCATGCGGGAACTGTGGGGCAAACATCGTGTCCATGATGTCATGTTTCAGACACTACCTGGCTCAGAGATAAACAAGATCACCAGGTGAGCTCTTGAGCAAAAGGAATTCAAAGCAGGTCATGTTTATATAGAAAATGATACTCCACTGTGGTATCCTTATGTCTTGAGATATTATCCAATGATTTGCAAGTTTGAATTGATTCTAGATAGTTTCCAGTCTCTTCTGTTTTGTCCTACAACCCTGGCCAGATGTCTTAGCCTTATAGTCCCACTGATCACAGATCAGAAGTCAAATCTTCATTGTACCACTAAAAATGATTTCGATACTATGTACTCCAGCATTCCAGAAATATCTTGTTATTATTGATTAACATTTAAATCTATTTATACAAGTGGGGATGCACATGCAGCGATCTAAATAAAATACTTACATCAAGCTTAAGTTGGATTTAAGCCCACAAAGGGGCACAACTTCTAGCTCTTTCCAAATTGGGTGATATCATAACTGTGCTTCTCAGTTTACTTCCATTTAAGCAATGTATGAAATAAGCGCCTGCTTCACATAACCATTCTTTTCACATAACCATTAATATATCTGGCATAAATTAGAATACTTTGAAGTACACTTGTTTTCATTCCTCTGCAATACAAGAGTCACTTACCTTGTGAAGTGAACTGAATTCACAGGCTGCAGATGAGAATGTCTTGATTATAGTGACTCATCGCTAATCCCACTGGTCGTTTTCTTTCCAAACAGGAAGAAGAGACGTGCTGTAAAAATGATGGCCACGGTAGTTCTTCTCTTTGCTGTCTGCTGGGCTCCTTTTCATCTGGTTTCCGTGCTCTATGACTATGGTAAACATGAAAAATGAAGCTGTCTGATCCATCCCTTATATAAGCTGCGCAACCGGGGTGAGCTTTTTAGAAACCATAATCATAAGCAATCATAAGTAGTGTTCTACCATTTAAAACACTTCTAAAAGTGTTTTTTTTTTTTGGTCTTGTGATTTCCTTTTAAATTTGCTGTTGGCCTATTCAATTTCTCTGTAAATTACACATAAATTACAACAATTACGAAAAAAGCACCACAACTTGCAGACTCCTTGCTGATCGATCACTTTTACTGGTGGTGTTGATCTCACTAATTAAATCTCACAGTTAAATTTGCTTTTCAGTCTTGCAGTTAACCAACTGACGCATAAGCTATTTGCTTTATAATGTATATTATTTTATTTATACAAATTTTTAATTAATAGGTAGAATTGTTCTTTTCAGCATTGTTCTGTGTTACCTAAACCATAGTACACAGCATTTACAACTAGGAAAACTGTACAGTACTTACTGTAGTCCAGTCACTACAGTACCTTTGATCCACAGGAAAGCTGAGTCTCGACCCAGATCAGGAGTTTTTGGTCTTCACCACAGTCCAGATCCTGGGATTCGGCAACTCCATCTGCAACCCCGTGGTATACGCTGTCCTCAACAAAAACTTCAAGAAGGGCCTCCTGGCCATCTTCCTCCAGAGGGGCAGGCCGCGCTGGCTGGCGGGGAGGCTGGGAGACCGGGCCCGTGTGGGAGTCTCGGCCATAGACTCACTCCACCTCCGGGACCGCAGTGAGCACAGCCTGCTGGGAGCTGGTGCGCACCAGTGGAGCAGGGTGGCCTGGGAGTCAGAGCTGCACACCTTGAACCCTTTCCCTCAGGTCCACCTCTTCCAAGGCATTTCCAAAAAGCACAGCAGCCCCCTGCTTCTCAGTGTCACAGATCCCCTGCATGTCAGCACATCCTCTAGCTAAACCCTGTCCCAGAAGAAACAGAAGGATGTGGAGTAATCACGGCAATCAGGAGGTGGTGAGAGGTAATCTGGTTGCAGCTCTTTAAGCATAAATACAAATGATTTCGGTATCATTTCAATTTTGAAGATGAGAGTAATTGTAATGTACAGTACCTATTAGCCACTCAAGTGGTTAAAGTATGTGCTTTGTGATCGGAAGCCCAGGATTTCAGTTCCTTTTAAATCAGGGCAAGGTCTTATACACCTGATGGCTTCTTGCTTGATGCTGTGCTTGAGTAACAGGACTAGGGGTAACGCTTGCCGTGAAGGCAAGGCCCTTTGTCTTTTGAGCCTTTCTTCTCTGCAGGCTACAAGGCCTGATATCTAATGACTGTGCACGAGACTCGCCCAGTGTTTCTCAACTGTGAGAAAGTTATCTTTACCAACACGAGATTCTCACTTGTACAGTACAGAGCGTGGCTTCTTGTCTCATGTATACATCGAAGGTACGAGAGGACACTTTGGTTGTTTGGTAACTCCACAAAACAAAGTAATTCACTTTTAAATGTTTTTCCTCTTTACTCTTTCCACAATTTCGCGGTACTGCTGTTCATGTCTGAAGTCACGTGTGCCTGAAGAAGGCTCCACGGCCGAAAACGCTGTGTTTTCTTTCTTCTCTTTTTAGCACCTATTACTTGTTCCTAAAAAGGCATATATTGCTTTAAACTTGTTCTTCAGAGAATATAACCTATTTCAGCCGTGTAAGTCTGTGATTTCATTTCCTGAAATACACTTGGGAAAACAGATCTAAAAGTAAGACTCGTGTCGATTGTGCACACTTCAGAAGAAAATACTCAAAAATGATCTATAACACCATCGGTAGTACATTTTCCAGTATCCTGGATTATTGAGTTGCACAATGTCAAGAACATTTTCATGCCTCAAAGCGAGCTCTTCACAAGCTGCTATGGCTAATAATCTTAGAAGTCAATGAGTCAGTTACTGGCAGGCTGCCTCTGGTATGCTATAATTAGTCACATGTAACTCAGAACCTCCACTTTTTTCAGGTCTAAACAGCCTTTTTTTCAAACTGAGACATTAGTATTCTTTATCTAATAGGACTTGTTTGGAAATAACACTCCAATTTCCTGTGATATATGAATTTGTTCATTGGCACACAGTTTACCATTATTGGCTGTTATTTGCTTTTTCATTTTTCTGTTTCCTGAAAGCCTGTTTCTAATGCCATATCTTGGCATTTCTTTTTCAAACAGCCTTTTTCAAAAAGAGCTCTTCTTGTGTCAGTGTCACACACAGTATCATTTTGCCTTTGTCTAGATGTACAGTAGATTTGACTAAACTGCCACTAATATAGTCTACTATGCAGTAGACTATATTGTTAAACCAAAAGAGTGCAATTTTCTGGGACAGCTCTATAATTGGCAGAGTACATATGTAGAATATTAAGTGTGATTTATATAAGGGAAAGTATTGTATATTTAGTGTACTGGAAATATTTGTTTTAATGTGGTTCATATGTAAAACTGTTTTTCCTACCTGTAGTGAAAAAATAATCTTTGAATAAAGATGAAGGATTTTTTCTGTAAAACAATGCATGACTATGTGTTTCTACATACATAAATCATTAAATATGTATGCTAAAAATCTTGTTAATACAGCAGCTCCACCTGGTGTCCAAATTCGTGTCTCTCAAGCACATGAGGGAATCGGGAGTGGCCAAAACATTTCCCTTTAAGTAAACTTAGTGTTCAGCGATTGTTATCGGACTCAACACATAGAATCACAAAATGCAATCTGACTCTGAACACTTGTAGACTGAAAAAAAATCATGAAAAATAATATACAAGTATATAAACGATAAATATACAACAGGCCCGTTGGTGTTGCTTGAGGGAAAGTAAACGAACAGACAGTATCCCTTCAATGTTCAAGTTTATACACATGACACTTAATGAAGCAATGTTGCTTACTGGACCAAGGGGACTGAGGTATGAACAACACTGATCTATTTTTTTCCATAACAGATTCCTCAAGTCTAGGATGGCTAAGTGATGGTGACAAGAGAACAAGATTGGAAAAGAAAACATAACCCCTAATAGTTTGTTTAGTCTTGTCAATATTTCCTGGAAACTCCAGATTAAAACAACTGGCTAGAAGTTCATGGACCTGCACATTATTAATAGGCAGACCTCAGTTTAAACAAGGTCCAACATCTGCCCTGTTTTGTGAGTGGGAATATACGCACAGTGAATAAAGCCAAAACAATCTACGAGAGCTCAGAATTCTGCTGAAAAAGAACAGACTCTTCAAAATCGCCTATAGTTTAGTTTGGCTTTGTGTTCAAGCATCATTGCTAACAACAAGTTAGAAATTAGCTTTAATGTGCATTCAAATCATTTAAAAATTGGTATGGGTTATAGCCACAGAGGAGGGTAAGGTACACTATATTAATTCTCTATTAAAGATTTCTCCAATTCTCAAAATAGCCCACACTCTCTACCAGAGATACAGGGTTTTCCTAAAGCAATTGCCTAGTAGCAGGAACTGGATTTAGCAAAGCTAGCATAAGATACCTAGAGCTTTCAGCAAATTAAAAAAGTCATGCAAGAAAGTCAGGCTTCTTTTTAAAAGAAAAATAGGATTTGTTTTTAACATACATTACTACAAATGTCTGACATTTCTTTCGTCATATTAAACCATTGACTGCACTTTGGTCCTAATATTGGATGGCACTGTCTTCACACTCCCTTGAAGCAGTGGTTATGAAACAGAGCAGGCATGTGTCATGCATGTTGTAATGATGAGCATGTTCAGCTGCCAGACTACACTCCCCCTGCAGAGATTAAAGCTAGCTATGGGTAAGTGATGCTTTGTGCAGCCTGTATTGCGCTCTCACATTGTCTGACTTAGACTCGCTGGCAAAGCTTCAGAGAGACAGAAGCATGTATGACTTGCAGAACTAAATTAGCACTGGCAGGAGGGCTAACATCTGTCACTGTGTGAAACAGCTTTAATAGTGAAGGAGCACACACCCTGAAGAACTCACTTTCATTTCAGAAGACTCACATTGTGCCACAACTCAGATTCAAATTTCAATAGACAATGGGGTGTTCTGTAATACATTAATACACTTTAATTTGAGAAAATTGTGAATATGCCTTGTGTTTTTTAATGAATTATGGCATATTTCATTACATCTGAACTGCGTGCTTCTGTTTTTTCCAAGTATTGAAGATTTTTTGGATGCCCAACCCAGAAAACATTTATCCTGATGACTTTCAGAAAACAGATATTTTATTTGGCCAGCTTCCTGTATTTTATTAAATTTCTCATTTACAGTAATGACCTGGAAACAATTTATGTAGTAGGATATTTACTGGAGATGTTTATATGAAGTATGTTACTCGTTGAGAATAGCGGTGTCCTATCTGGGATACAAAGAAAAGGGTACTAGTTTTTAGTTTTCAATTTATTTTTTTTCAATTATATTTATATATTTATTCTTAGGTATTTAAGAAAGTGGATTATATATTCTAAAATACCAGAAACAGGTTCCTGAGGAAAATTGATGCAATTTTTAAACTCAGTATCCTATTGAGATTTTATAATAGCAGAATTACCGTTGTAATACCTTCAGGAAATCCAACTCTCAAAAACACTGTTTACACTGCGTGCACTTCCTTTGAAGAATGAAATTACTTGATCATTTTAGGTCTTTTAAGTTTAATTCATACTTTTTAGGTACAGCATGTGTAGTGTCCAAGTCTTATCTGTTTTCACACACTACACTGAAAAGTTCACTCACACAAGAGACCCACAGATGCCTTTTTAAGACTAGAGAAGCTTGAAGTTAAAAACCCAAGTCAAGTTATCCTATGATCTAGTGATATTGATGTCATCATCTCAACATGGTTCTCACTTGTCTACATTTTATAATAAGTGTACACATCTATTCATGCACTTTTTTCCCTCTACAATTTAGATTTCAGCAATGTGGTATACTGAATATTAAGAAAATAATAAACATTTGATGATATATTCATCAATGTTAATAAAACTCCTTTTTGCAAAACTCATATATTGATTAACTTTTAATCCTTTAGACACCACTGGAGAAATGTTTTCTCACTAACAGTCTGTGTAGCATCCTATAATTTGGCCACACCAGTTTAATTGGAGAATACCAATTGTAGTTCAGATTTTGTGAATCAGGCATCATTTGCCTTAATTGCCCCCAAACTGCTATTTCTGTGTCTTATATCACACTCAGATCTATATTCCCAATTCCCAGGTCTTCCCAATATTATTATCAATATCACTATTTATATGACATGCACCTTTGTGCTGACATACAAAATGACACAAATTACTCTAACTGTTGAAGAAAGGGACAATCCTACTTTATTTCGTTTGGTCCTTGGTCTTCTGATGTTAATGGAGTTTATTTCAATCAGCTTTCACAGATTGGATGTGCAAATGGTGTCCAAGATTAAAGAATGGTGCAGTATCCCGGCTCCTTCTCCATCTCCTTAACAGTAGGGATCCACTCCATCTCTGGCTCTGGGGGCACTGTTCTTTTCATTCTTTTTTTCCTACCTTTCCTGTGGTCTACCTTTCTTTTCTGAGGACTGCAATTACTCTGAAAACAGACCATGTCCTCCCCCTTGGCATTCCCTTTTCTCATCCTGTACTTTTCAGGAGCTCCACAAATCATGCAATATGACTCCCAGCTGTCCTGTTTTCCTCTTTCCTTCAGCAGTCTGTTCTGGTTAATGTGCGGGGGCAGTCCAGGATAAGATTTAGAGGGCAATTCAGAAGGGCATTTATGCCCGAGTTGTGGTAAAGGTTGCAGAAAGGATTGAGCAGAACTTTCTGGTGCCTGGATTGTAGAAATGTCAGCACTGGAGTGAGGAGAAGACTGAAAACTACCCTGTTGCTTCTGCAGACTTGAATCACTACTGGTTGCCTGCAGACGTGCATTTGAGAGGCTTCTGAGCCGAATCTTGGAACTTTGCTGGGCTGAATCCTGAAGGCAGACTTTCAAGCAGGGATCAGGATCATGAATGGGGTCTGCGACTGCCAGAGACCGTTCCATTTCTGCTTGACCATGGAGGCTTGCTCTTCCACCACAAGTTTTCTCCTCTTCCAGAACCTCTGTACATTTTGCAGCTCTGTCTTGTCTCTCATTATTTGAGTTTTTGGCCTCCTTCAAGGTCTTCCTCTTTTGAAGGTTAACATTTGGGTCCAAAGCTGCAGACTTGGGAGAATGGTCATCACCTGCCTGAGTTGGTGGGGATTCTTTTATAACTTGAAATTTCTTCTTCTCTCTAGCTGTTCTCTGACCTTTTGGCTTGAGTCTTCGCTTTGTTTTCAATACGGTTTGCCTGGCCTCCATCTGTCTAGCATTGTTGTGCTGTCTTTTCCTAAAACTAACCAGCCTTCTGGCATTTTCTACAGAAATCCCAGACATCAGTGTGAGCTGTCTGGCAGTGCATCGGTTCAAATCCAGAACCCCACTCATTCTTTGACCCCCACCCAAAAAAAACTTCTCTCTCTGAACCTGCAGTTCTGGATATTCTTCTTTTAACCAATGACATCACAGAGTGCCATACACAGTAGTGTAAATTTAGCCAAGTGGCAACTGATCATGTCATGATGATGTCATAATGGGGTTTATGCTATCATGAAGAAAGCCACAAACAAAAGAACCATAATCAGAATTATTTAAATACATATCTTATTAGACTGAAGTCTTCTTCCTAATGTTCTTTGCATTCAAAAATGTTTAGAAAAACATTAATTCAGTAACTGTAAGTCATATCAGTGAAAGTGTTTGACTTCAAATATTATATATTTGTACCTCATAAGAAAGAGGACATCGCTGAATATGCTTTTACAACTGCAGGACACTAAGAAAACATGAATAGAAAATCCGATAAAAAGTACTGTAAAAACTATTAATTTGCATTTTTATCTAATGACATTTCTTTAATTTCAGATAAAAAAAATGTTTATAAAACTTGTGTAATTTAAAACTGCAGCTAAGATCCATTTCCATATTGCAGCTTCCAGAATAGTTTAAGCATTAGTGTACACCGAAAAGAGAGCAGTTTAACTCCCAAATGTGACTAGCATGCTCGCAAGTCTTCAGTGCCAATCACATTGCATCTATTCATTACAAAATCACTCTCTTGTACTTAGTTGATGCTTTTATTCCAGGCAAAATATAGAAAATGATGAGTCTGCATAATGAAGCATCATTTCTATAAAAACAATGAATTATCTTTCAGGAAGTTAAACAATGAAACTAGCAATACAGGAAGAAACAGAAAAGGACATTTTCCATTTGAAAATTCTTTTAAGCATCAGCAGTCAATCATGCCAGCTATTTTAAACCCTTGGATGTAATATTTTTGCAGTTACTCCACTGTTGTGTGAGCTCCAGCATGTTGCAGACTTAACTTGTTTACACACCTTGCACAGACTGCAGTATGGCAGAAATTCATACAAGCAGCTGTTGCACTGACTTACCACAAAAATGTTCAAGTATACATGCATAGAAACATTCGCTCTAACACACGATGAGCCAGAGTAGAAAAACAAACACCGAATTCTAGTATAGAACCCAGTTTGTTCCATATTATATTACACATGTATAGATGTATAGAGAAGCTCAGGTTCCCATCCACAGTGCAAAGACATACTTGTAGGTTAATTGGCATTTGAGGAAATTGGCCCTGGTGTGTCTGTGTGAGCCCTTTGATGGACTGCTGCACATTGCTTGCTGGGATAAGCACTGGCTCCCAGACTGCCCTGTATTAGAGAAAGCAGCTAGAAAACAAATGGGCATACAGTATAGAGAGCACATATGAAAAAAAAAGAGATCACATGCAAGTAAGAGATTATCTTCAGGTATGGCAGTAAGACACCGTGTTGCTACAAGATTGTCATCCTGCTTCACACATTGTGGTGGTATAATTTTTGAAGTGCTGCCGTTGGTGACAGACTAATTTTGCAAGGCACAAAAAACAATTATGAGTCTTTGTTTTTAAGGCAGACTATAAAAAGGCAGTGAACATGTCCTACAATTCCAAAGTACAATTTTAGAACCTTTACTACAAGTTAATGTACACAAAAATTGATTTAAAAAAAGTCAATCTTAAATAAAGATTCTTCTGCATAATCAGTCTCCAACACTGTTTAATAGAGAAAAAGCAATAGAGACAGAATATTCACTAATCACAGAGAGAGTTAATCCAGTTAACCCTCTTATTTCTAGGAATAAATAAAAAATAAATAGAATTAAAGACTGCACAGTGAAGTGGAAAGTAAATTAAAAGCTTAGAAAGCATTACACAAAATGAAGCTAAAGAAAAGTTTTTTTAAAACCTACTTGGAAAAACATTCACACAAAACAACTATTCAAACACTTGAGCTAACTAGCTGAAAATTTGATATAAAAGTGTCTATTATATAACTTTTTACAAATGTACATGCAATCCAGTTGCCAAAATTTAAAAAGAATGCTTTGAAAACAGGTTATCTGAATACTTTCAATGTCATGTCAGAATTAACTATGAATTACAACAGAAAAAAAAAGTATCAGCCTTCTCAACAAAAGTACATTGTAACCACTAGGTGGCAAACCACTACTGGCTAACACTTAAGGAGGTTCATTCAGCCATTACATTTGTAGGGTTACACACACCTCTTCAAGTTCATGTAAAAATAAAAACGGATCCTTCCTCTTTAAAATACTTTTAAGAGTAAATCCTTGGCACTGTATTTTTGTATTACTTTAAGAATGTACACACACTCTTTGGAACAAATTAATTTCGGACATGCCTACCTCTAACTGCTCCTGCAGAAAAGATTAAAGCAAATTAATATTACAAACCCTGTGATCTAGATTGCATTCTTTGATTTGTGTATTTTACAAGAAAAAAAACACACAAAGGCAAAAATGTATACAATATGTAAACATGTATTTAAAAATAAATATATCTCTTCACAGTAGCTCCTACAGCTGAACATTTTAACTGTAGTTCAAGAAAAAAAAACTTGAGAGATGAATCTCCAGTTCTGTCAAGTACCATTTGAGGTAAAATGTGGTGGGAAATTACCCCATAAACCAGTGATGTAACAGCTCAGTGCAACAGATTAAATCTCTACCAACCACAGCAGGACAGAACCAAGAACACCTTCTATGTTCAGACTAGAGGAATACCACTGTCCTCAGAAGAGCTGAAGTGTTCCCCTCTCTTGCACCTTTCGATCAGTAAGACTTACAGCTCAAATAATGGAAGATGGGCCCTACTGGCCTAGGCCACACTGACTTAAGTCATTGTATTGCCTTCAGCTATCCTTGCAAAAATCTTTGCATGGGTGTTACAAAGCAAAAAAAAAATCTTTATTCATTTTCATTGTTAAGCTTATAATAGTTATTTTCAATCACTTTCTGGATGATATTTTCAGCATCGTGTCTATGACCTAATTCCAGTAAAGCATTAAGCAATAGTTCAATAGAAGCATTTTTCCCTTTGTCTTGCTGCCAGCCAGTAAGGAGTTGATAAAATTGTTCATCCACATCGGCAGGAATATTTTTTTCAGCTTTAAGAATATCATTGTCCTTAACGCCAATATGTCTCAGGAATTTCTTCCTATCTTTCACTCCCACTTGATCTGTGAAGATTGCAAAGCTCTTCTTCAGGGACTCTGACACTGTAAAGAAATGAGGCGCAAGAGAAATAAGAGACTGGAAAGAGGAGGGATTATTTTATCTGTCTTTTTTATATTCCACTACAAATCACCTACACAAAAGGATATAGGACTTCAGCAAGTGCAACTCCATAATTCTGGAGATTTTACAATGTCCAAGAAATAGAACTTATAGGTCACTAAAACACTAGAATATCTTTTGGGGAGTGGACACCATTTTGATATAAAGTAGGACAAAAATACAAGATTCATACAATTCTAGGACTTGATTGTTCCTGTTGTTAAAAAATGCTCCTAGTAAATTATTGGGCACTTGCAAAGAATTTGATAATACAGCTGCAACCTAGGGTTGCAAAAGTATAAGGGTACAAACAACATTGAATAATATCCATGTCTGATTAACTGCAAGCTTTTAATGCATACATGTACACTGTTAATGGAGCCAGTGCTTACACAGAAAATTATCAAAATCTAATTTCAGTTCCTTCTGTTTACCAGTAGGCCTAACAGAAAAAATATGCACTTCCAAATCTTAAGATTATTTACCCATATTCAAGCTAATCAGTCACATTACAACCAAAAAACATGCACTGAAATTATCGCTCTACTTACCTTCTAAAGGAATATAAGTATTTTCATTTATAGCACGACCCTGCAAAAACAGAAGAGATATTATTCAACCATCTGAAAAAAGCTCTTGTTTGTACAGTCTAATAAAATCCTAGAACTGACAGTTTAGAATCATCCCTAAATAAATTAGACAGACAATTCCTATACTAATAACTTATTTTCATCTATAAAAATAAAAGGCAGTTCACCCACACACTTTACTAGTTTACTAAATCTTAAAGGTTATGTTCACTGACAGAAAACCCTCAACCTCTATCAACACCATTACAACTGCTTCCTTGATCAAATTTAGGGTTTTGTACACTTATTGGATTCCTTTTTTTAAAGATAAGATTTGAACTCATGAAAGCAAGGGGAAGTAAAAGTACTGTAATCTACTAAACTCAATGGACAGAAGCAGGGAGAATCAGCCCAAGTTACTGCAGGATTCTGGCCAATCTTAGATGGGTGTATGGCATGTGGTTAAACTGTTGAGCGTATCTATGCCAACACAGCAGGCACAGAACCAACAGCTCGAATGAAGCTGATGAACTACAAACCGACATACACTAAATATATAAACAATGTTAATCTTTATTAAAAGATACTCTACAAATAAGCACATATCTATCCACTGTCTTGAACAGCCCTTTTAGCATTTGTTAATTTCTCCAAACAAAAAATTATGAAACAGTTCACAGGTTTTTCCAAAGCACATGGAAGTTTGAAACTATGGGTTAACTAATATGAATCTTTGGCTAACAACTTTTCACTCTAGGTTAGTTGTAGCTAGTAGAACAAAGGTCAAGGTGTTGTCTATCTTTCATTATTTGGGCCTAGAAAGGTAGCAATGCAAAGTACTACCTTTAAGAATAGCATGTTGTATATTCATGCCAACTATGGTAGCTACTCAAATGTCAAGGTTTGATGAAAGCCATATTGCTCTAATGTATCATTATATTAAAGTTCAGGTTTAAACTAATGCTGCATGCCACTGGCCATATTGATGTCATCCAGGATCATTGTGACTGTAGTGCTTCCTAAATGTGTGCTGCTATAGAAGGGATGATTATGTCTTATATACAGTAATATTGCTCTTACCCCAGCCAAGTCCTGTCTCTGTGTTGGAGGGCTGTGTCGAGGGGTGCTGCTACTGCAGGCGCTACTGGGCAATCCTGCCAGGCTGGTCTGTGAGGAGTTAGCGGTGTTGGACAGGCTGTCTCCTAAGCCCCTGTCCTCATCGTCAATGCCCGTGCGCGTGGCGCCGGCCAAGCGCTCATTCTGCAGCAACGGCTCGCCCTCACTGACGCGTCGTTGCTGCTCTGTCCCTGCATTCAAGCTGTTCTGCCTCTCTTCCACTGAGCCCTGACCTGCACCATCCTAAACAAAAAAGGACAGAAGTTTCAAAACGACCAAAACATGCGCTGCCCTCCAGATGAATGCATACCCCTGACGAAATCAGCACAAAAAAGATTCAATGATTTGGATATCTTGCTTCACAATTCCTAAAAACACTATAAGTATTACTATATAACACTGCACAGAGCAAAGCCATTATTTGTTTATTATTAACCTGAGTACACATGCATTCACAACACTGCGGAGAGTATTTTGTAAATTATCCTAATTTCAGACTGTCCACACTCCCCCAACTAACTTGTGGAGGTCAATGGCCAATAGCCTTCAGGCTTCAGAGAGCTCTCTCACATTAATGATAATGCTTCTGCGTGTTACTTCCTTTTATACTCCAGTTAAAAGGGAAACTTTCAGTTGTTTCTGTATAGTTCCCCTGTACTTCCAAAGCACAGGAAGATATTTTACAATTATATTTTTACTTAAGTGTAAACAAAAGTGGGAATAATCATAACCCTGGTGTTTGCTGGAACTCAATAATAACATTTGACTTCACTCTTTTTTGAGAATGTTACAACATTGAGTTATAGACTGGATAATGTTTTGTTCTTTTTCCTTCAGGTGCATTAATAAATCTAGAGGGCACCATACCATAAATGCAATCTAAACCAATTTTTTTTTTGCTTGAGTTGAAATGATCAAATACAGCTGAACATGCAAATGTTTGGCCCACTTCTGATCTGAGAAACAAATGCTGAAAACATCACAGCAATTATGAAATTAGTATAACATACTGTACATTAGAAATTTTTTGTGCTTTTTTCCCCAAAGTTTATTTTGAATGGATCTCTCTATGAATAACAGAAGTAGAAACAGGTTTTCACATGCAGGCAGTTGCTTAGATGGAACTCTTCACTGTAATAGAGAGCTAATTCCAGATTACCATACACTTTCCATTTTTATCAATGCGTGTAAGCTCATTTTTCTTATTTCTGTGCCATGTGCTGGAAAACTCTGTGGAGTTCTTAGATTTGAAGAAATGTTAAAACTGTAATATAATGTATACACACTTTTCAAGAAATTCAAAAGAGCTGTACAGGAGTGCACATGTAACACAGCGAAGCAAAACCACAGCTGTTTTCTGTCAATCGTCTCTGACAGACTTTGCAACACATTAAAATAATGTTTATATGAGAATCAAGGAAACCTTACTATTGGTATCTTCACATCACTTGGCTGGCTGGAGCAACCTGGAACACAGAATGAGGAATTTACATTGTGTGCTGAAACTGCACTCAAGGAGAAAGGAAGGAATTTGTGTACAAACTAACCGTGCATACAGCTTATGAGTCGTTTTCCCAGGGAAATGTCACATAAAGCTTTACATGCACAAAGAGACATCATGAATGCCACAGCTGCCATGGAACTTTTTCAATTAAACTCTTGAAAGTGCAGTGTTAAGCCAATTTAATAAATCTGTCGCACAAACAACTTGTGGTTGCCCATTTGGTTTTCTTTTGTTTCTTTTCTGATCTCACACAAGTTGTTTTACATGTGATTGTAGATGACATTTTACATTGCTATAATTCAAACCAAGTCTTCTTTTTAAAATGTGTAATACTTTTACAGCATGAACAAGTGCAAAGAAATTCATTAAAAAGCATTTTGTTTGTTGTTTTTATAGTCACTGCTCAGGCCTTTCATGGGGGGGAAAAAAGAAAAAAATAGACAAAAAGATTAACAACAACATTTGAATGTCAAATGCTGAGCAGCTGCAGATGTCAGGATTCCCTTCCCTATATCAGTCTTTTCTTGTTTCTATTGCGATGTTACTCACCAGGACTTGGATTATGACTACATTTCCTCTTCTTCCACAAAACAAGAGAAATCACAAGTACAATCCCAATGATAATTACAATCACAATGGTGATCACTGTTACAAAACAAAAATGAAACATGTTAAGAGGGCATCCGAATCTCTTTGATAGCATTTCACAATCATTCATTTAAATACCTTGCACCACTTTTATTAAATCCGGCGCATTTACATGGAAAAAAAATCACTCTGCTGAATGCATTAACTATTATGATGTTGCATCATTTAAAACAAGTTCAAATTTTTACACTACTGTGTAGTTTTACCATTGTTATTCAGAGAAATTATCAGTACAAATTTCCTTCAGAATTAACAATCAAAATAATGTTAGCAAATTAGCATTTAATGACTGCTTTAATGAAATAAAGCATTGCAGAATCAGCCCTGACTTACACGGATTATGAAAGGGAACTGGTTTACTTCTAAAGGACTGAAATAACTGCAATTCAAACAGCATGTGAGAAAGAGGAAAAAAGTTCCTCACACACGTAAAGGTGTCTGAGTCAGGTCTCCAAACTTTGTTGTGTCACTTGAATTAAAAGAGTACTTGGATGCCAATCTTTATCTCTCAAGGACCGGGGGCCTCTTAAACAGATCACTTGCATGCATCTTTAGTAGCTGACAAGTGGCCCTTGAGAGACAAAGTACTCTTATTTGGAAATATCCCATATCTTTAGAAAATAGTGTTTTAATCGTGCCCCCACACAACTACCCCTGCTGATTCTTGGGATATTAGAAAACCCTGATCTATGTAAAAAACCGCAGACATCTTTGGGCTCCAGGAGAACAACTCCAAGTTAATAGTGAATAGATGTAGACAAATGTAGCTTAGCAACCATTGAAAAAGATAAATATAACACCTACTATCACAATGGAAAGAGGAAAAATTAGTAAAGGTGTATCGTCTCCAACCAATGACAGCATAAAACTGCCTTAGCCATGTGAAGTATACCTGTTCCTGCGCTGGTAGTGGCTTTGTCAGTATTACCTAGTCTTGGCTTCTCTGTGGCAGGTGACGGCTTCGCACACACAGTGTCTGCAGTAGCATTACAACTGTGCACTTCAGCCATTTCCTCTTTACACCTGGAAATAAGAGAAAATGTGACATGTAACAGAAACCCACGAGGAAATTCCATTGTTTCTCTTTTTATTTTCACAGATTCAACTATTTTGGTCCATAGTGTCAGACCATCATTTTTTATTACATGAACCTGTTGATATGTGAACAGACCACTATAGAACCACTTCACAGCTAATCTGTCCTGTACAGATGAACTAAAGAAACACTACTGAACAAAAGTAGCACTTACTGTAAGTTACTCTTTAAGTGACCATGTCTGCCTTACTGATATCTATGAGCAACAACGAAAATATGCAGGAGAATGAGGGTAGTCAATAAAAATTGTGACAGATTGAGATATACATTACGAAAAGCATTGTCAAAGCAATTGTTTCAATGCCTTTGTACATAAATGTCTGGCTTCCTTAAAACGTGCAACGCAGAACCAGAGAGGATAAAACGACATCATCAGGTTTTCCTGAAAGGGCTCATTAAAGCCCACCAGTGCCCACGAGGTCGACGCGCGGAGCTGCTGCATGCCTGCCTACCTGGAGCACTTCTTGCAGACCTCGCAGGCCTCCTCCGGACGGCAGAAGTAGCCAGGCTTGCACTGACACTGCCGGTTCTGCACAATTGTGCAGGGAACCGTCTCCACTTGGTCTGCAGACAGAAAGGCTAGGTTAGGCTCGGCTGCCCCTTACCTAAAGGGATTGCTGCTGTACAAGAATTTGACCAACCCTTACAAATAGGTTTGTCCTGTAAAAAAGTTCATTTGCGGAGATATTATCTCAACAGTTACTTATCTGGTGTGTTTGGGGAGCCTTTTTATTTCACTTTTGCTTTATATATTACATGGTTTTAACACCAAAAGCACCATATTGTTGTATTGCTGGTTTCAACCAAGATGGAGAGAGACTTGTAAACTATGCTTTAACTTGCAGGAGATCGGCATATAATGTATGTTTCACAATCACGCATCACTGCTGTTGTTTAGCAGACTGACATTTGATAAATACCTCATAGAAGGTAATAAAAACATGCTTTCAAAATATTACATATTATTCCCATTATTTACCACCTAAACTAAAATATTGACTGCTTTTCTACTCTAAAAATATAATTACAATGTAAATGATTATTTCCATATACTTCCACTTCAAAATGAGGCTGAAAAGCATGTAACAAAGTATAATCTAATAACATTCAAGTTAATACACCAGTGCAAAGGACTTCATTCTGCACAAAAAAAGAGTGAAAAGTTGCCCAGAGCCATTTTAACACCCTTCATTTTATAAGAAGACTTGTGCATATGGATACACACAAACAGAAACAAAAGCACTATGCAGTGTGTGCAGAAAGGGATACTACAAGTTTAGCTAGCATAATTACCCACACTACTACATGTTTACACAGGCTAATCCAGTGCTTTACATGTCTATGGATTAATTATTTTGTACTCAAATTATGCAAAAAAATATTGAAGCTGTAAACTGACAAATTGCAGCAAAAAGAACCAACAGCACATCAAGCACAACTTTCAGAATCCTCCAACAAACCAGGTTTCACATTGTCTGACAAAAATGCAGAGCCTCAGATTGTGACCTAACAAGGGTGTGGCAAATTCTAAGCATGGCTGAAAAGCCAACTCATGCCACACTCGAACCTTTGACTCCACTGACTCACTCAACATAATTTAAAACAGACTGCAGTTTGCTTAATTTATTGTTTAAAAGAGCACATACATTTTTGAATTACTTGACACTGAAACAATCTTTCCACTTTTGAACACAATTTGTTTTCAGACCAACCAGCCTAAAACAACCACAGACGTTCTCCAAAGCCTGTTGTCAGGCCTGGCTGGATGTCTTTGCGCTGCAAATCGAAAGCTTTTCTGTCTAAGGTTCAGTTCTGCATGTGTTTAAACAGAGGCCAGGTGAAGATACTGTGCCTCCATCTCGTGGGGGGGGGGGTTTGGGGGAAGGTTTTCAATTGATTACGAATGACTGCTCCGTAAGTGTCTGCTTCTTTCTCACAGTGTATAGTGAAATCTTTTTTTTCCTCCTCACCAGATGAACTCATGGGACAGAGGGCGTTGAGTCATCTTTTGGGTAAGGGAACCTTATCAATTTTTTTTTCATCTTGAACTCTGAGCAAACAGACTCGACAGCGATCTGATGGCACGCACGTCTCCCACCACAAGCACAACGGAACTCTGGTTTGGCAGCGTGGTACCTGAACGACACCGAGAACAGTGGATGCAGCGCTTCAGTCCATTGGCGTGCTCGGTGTAGTCCTTGCCGTCCGCGCAGGCCTCGCACTGTCCGTACGTGGAGGGGCTCGTGCATGGCGATTTCACATATTGCCCTGCAGGGAGAGAGCACGCTCAAACACATGTCCAGCATATATTTGTCTATATACAGTATAATAAAGAAAAAAACAGTGCCGTAAGGGGATGAGATGCATCACTTTTATTGAAATCAAAATAAAAACCTGTAAGTGTTGCACCATAGCACTTAAAAGAAAAACCTACATTTATGTATTGAAACTTAAAGAAATTAATCCATATTATGTCAGTATTAATGGGTACTTGTACACCAAATACGTTTTGCACTTAAAATAAATCAAATTACAGGACACAATGCAAGATTTTTCTATGGTCCTTAATTACCATGATCCCTAGTTTACAATTAGAATTTCATAATTATATATCATTTTCAAACTGGTGATCAAGTTTTACATTTCACATTGGTAAATGGCACTCATGATTTCCAGGTTTTATGGCAAAACGCTTGTATGTCTTTTCAACAGGAGACATATCCAGAAAGTGGAGGTGAAGTATTAGTTCAGTTTTCTTTAACAAAATGGCTTAAACCAGACCAGGGAAAAAAGCAGTCACAGCAACAGCATTAGATACTTTTATATTTGGTATTTAACTCTTTAAATACTGTATATAAATCCCAGCAAAGCAGCATTTCAGAAATGTTCCATTATGGCATTAAATTAGATAACAGATTCCAATTTTCTATCCTTTGAACTGTTCTGAAACTAGTGAAGAAATGGCATATTAAAAAGTTTAGCTAAGCCTTGCAGAAGGAACTAATTAAAACTGAATTCATTCCACAGTTATCGGTGCCCGTGGTTTATTTGTTTAAATATGATGCACAAATATGGATCCGTATTTTTTTTAAAGCTTTGAATGAACACCAGAAAAAAATTCACAAATAGAAAACCAGATTTTCTTACCAGCTTCACATTTTTTACAGCAGATTTTACCATCCAAGTATTCCTCCTCTTGGCAGACCTTTAGCTGAGCAGTTCTGTTACTAAAATCAGCTGGTGCAATCGTACGGGAAACCACCAGGACGGTCACCTACAACAGAAAAAAAAAAAGATCACCGCAACCATGTAGCTTTACTAGAAATGCCTTTTCCTTCACATGCAGCTTGTGCTGCTTATTTAGAACTTGCAGAAAATGCAACATACTGTACATGCAACGTCCCACATTTCTAACCACTTTATCCAGTACAGGGTCACAGGCAGTGCCGGCGCCAGGAGAAAAATCTGTAGGGGGGCATCTGAAATCCAGAGCGGGATGGTGATATTTCGGTTGAAACCGAGCCGCTGTCTCTACCCAAGTGAAGTCTCGCAACCATGGCACCGATTAGCGCTTCATGACAGAAGATAACGACGAGCAATCTGGGATTTAGCAACTAAGTACAGTTTCATCCGCACTCTCACGGTTATTATAGACTGGAGCGACAAAATGCCATATGCTTTTATTTTTGCAGCTATATCGACGGTAATGGGGTTCTGAATTGTTAAGAAAAAAAATTGTAAAACCTACAGGAACCATAAACTTCTATAGTAACTACAGGCCTAGTTAAATAACGATTCTAAGTATAAGGATAAACTACTACAAGGAATCTTAATAATCTTGACACCCAATAACATAGAGACTATGTAATATGTGCCGTTCCTGGACGGATAGCCCACCTGCACATCAAGCAGTCCGATGTAGTAACTATGAATTTGGGGTTAGTGTATTTATCTGACCATTGACAAAGCACAACTATTTTTTAGGGCACAAGTTAAGTAAGCAAAAGTATTCAAAAATCCTTTTATCCAAAATGGAGGGGGCGGGACCGTTCAGTTGAGGGGGGCCCCCATGGGGCCGAGTACAGTCACAGATTCTAAATTCTACTTTTCTGTGTTTGGAATCTAAGCAATTGTTGTTAATTGGTTAAATATCAATTAATTTAAAATGTTTTTGTAGCAATAATAGACTGAAAAAACAGTTCTAAAATCAAAATATTACCAGCAGAAGCAGAAGCAGATTTAAAAAAACTCACAAAAACCATGTCTGCTTGGAGAGACAAAGTAACACCTTGTTCATGTGAGCAATTTACACTCTGAAGCCAAAAACTACGTACAAGCAGTTTCTATCGAAAACCTGCTTCAATTTTCTTAGCATTACAAAAAGATGGCATTTTTTCTAAAAACATGAAGGCACAAAGCCTTTTTATTCCAAGCACAAAGCTTGGAAATCTTATACCCTGCTCGAGGCAGTATATCAAGTACATGCATGTAACTCTTAAAATCATCTTGCACCAATTGATTACATATGCATATTACTGAACTGCAATCATTTTGCACCAGGTCAATTAAAGTAAAAAAGTCAATTAAATCAATTCTGCTATCACTAAAATGTAATTGCCTTTTAATACTTTTTAACACTCAGCATAATGTTAACGAATGACTGAATGTTGATCTGGTTTAAAATACTATGCTATGGACTCCACTCTCAGTAAGCACTCACGCAATTTTTGTTACAAAACGCACAACATTTTAAACTTCAATAACAGTGTTAGAACACAATGAAAACGCATTCTGGTGTGAAGGGGGAGGGGGTTAAGAAGATATTTACTGCCAAGATCGCCAGGGCCAGTCCTTCACAGTAAAAGTTTCTGGAATTTGGCTACAAACCTGGTTTCTGTCAGGGGATTTCCTGCATGTTCAAAGCACTCGATTGCATCATTATTTCCAATGAGCAGGAACACCGGGAAGGGCCAATGAAACTACCGCTCCAGCAATCACCCCACTAAGATTTATCCAAACAAATCAAAGCCGAAAACCAAACTTTGTAAAGGAACGGCTTGAAGTGGAGGAATCTGGAAGCAGGACAAATTAACTCCCACATTCACGATCTCTAGTAATAAAATCTAGTCCAGTTTCATGCAGATGTTAATATGTAGCAGGAAAAAAAAAAATCAGCACTTGGCTAAATATCGTGTAGGTTAAAAAAAAAATCATTGCAAACGTGGTTTATGCTTCACAAAATGACTGGAGTGTTTTTAGTATAGACAAGTTTCAAGAGATGTACATGGACTGTTTTATGGAATTATTACGCATTAAAAATGGGAAAAAAAGGAATATTAAAAACAGCACATATCCCAACTAGAGGCACCTTTCACATCTGCTCATGGGGTTTAAAGGAGCACTCCAACACTATTTCTCTATCCATATTAGAACTTTGCAGAGCTGTTACAGTAATAGGATTACAGGATGTTAGGTATAGGTTTATCTATATGCTACTGGTGTTGTATGAGGCATCCATTCTAATTTCAGTGGAAAAAGTTCATCATTTTCATTATACTGAAAAGAGTATACAACAAAATGAATACAGAGAAAACAAAAGTGACTAAAACAAAGATGCATAAACAGTGCATTTTGTATTTAGCATAGCCAAATGGCACCTTACTTAATCATGACATCTCCCTAAGCAGAGTTCAGGCAGGTTAGAAACTGAGAATCTGAACTGATTTGACTTCCCTATAGACCTCATCATAGAGGTGGACACTGCAAATTAAGGTAAGATCTGGACAGCTGCATTAACACCGACAGCCACACCCCACAAGCCGCACCCCTGAAGAAACTGGTAACTCCAAGAACCTTTTTTTTTTAACATCAGGTTTGTCATCAGCAAACTTACAACATAACTGACTTTTCTGGATTTACTACATTTTTTTTTTTTTTTTTAAGACTGACAGCAGGCTATGCAGCTGGTTATATTCTACTTATTTTGCCCAGGATGCCCGTCATCACAGGTGAGCAGCACTAACGGGTGGAACACCACTTCTCCACCACCATCACTGTGAGACTTGCAGGCACCCAGCAAGTCACAGGAGCTGCAACAATATACGTGAACAGCCACTGCCTGACTTGACACACCCTCTACCCCAGTGTCACTGCCAGCCCTACTCAGGAATCCAGGTGGCAGTCAGCTAGTGACACAGCCCAGGCTCACACCAGGGATATACAAGATCTCAGCCTGCACTCTGAACAAACACCTTACAGGCTGAGCTTCTGGAAGCAAGTGCTTCGGTTCATGCTTTTCCATCCAGTTAGCAGATGGCATGATACTAAACAAGTTAAACCATTTTATCATTTTAATAAGTGAGTAGTTATTAGCCTATTTCATACTACCTTTTAATATTTCTCTGCATAGTAAAGTCCTTGTTTAGATGCTGATATTTTATTTCGTGGTGCATTTGATAATGGAAATGCCATTTCCGACTTGAAATGTTGATGTGCAGCAAAACTGTCCATTCGATTTTGTCAACTAATGGATGGCACTTGAAACTTTAATGTTCTGTTTGAAAGGAGTAGCTCTGTTTGTAGTCTTTCATCCATATTGCTAAAATTGTACATGAAGAACAAAAACTCGTTCAGATGATGATAAATTTCCCTAAAAAGGGCTGTCTTTTGGGCGACAGAAAAGCCAGCTGCCATACCATGCACAGGCTTGATCCTAACCTCCGTCAGAAGCAGAGAGCAGACATGCTCAACGTCTAGGAACATGGACCATGTGCTGATGGATCAAGAAGTCATATTCCCTTTGGCTTAAAGTCTGACCAAGACCATTACCCGCCTTCATATTGCAATCGTTCTTTTTCAGACTTCAAATGACAAAGGCTACCTAAATAAGTGTCCTCATCACCACTGGCCTTAATACAAAACTTTGTTAAACTTTTCTTTATTATGCCTTTAATCCCTTCTACATTGTTAATAATGCACTGACGAGGTTTTGTTCTTTTTATTAACTATTAACATCATGAAAGGACATCTAAGGCTGTTTTCGCGGTATCACTAAAGGTAATGTGACTCATTAAGCAAACAAACATTGTGCAAGTTCGTCAGCCTCTTCCTTTCACTGCATACCAAAGGAATTAAATAAGAGTCACGAGTTTTCATACACCCATTTACAGGAAGCCAACCGGTTCATCTAGAGCTGGGCGAGGATTTGCGGACAACAGGTAACTTTATAAAGCTCCCTGCGGCTTAGGAGCTTAGTAAACATCCACCCCCTTGCCTTTAAAGGAAGAACTTGAGATTCTATGTACTAATGCAGTGTTGTTTGTACAAATCTGGCTCTCATGTTCATTCAAAATCTAGGACACATGAACTGACCTTTGCCCACTAATATTTTGTGCTTTCTAGTTTCTCTACACACATCCTTAAGGTTTCTGCACAAGTTATCTAAATATTTAACATTACACCTCTAGGGATTGCATTATTATAACATAAGGAAATACCTGAACATTTAAGAATGTTTAACGTATCAAAGGGAAACCTTAACTATTTTTATTGATTGTAAAAACAGGACAAAACTCAACCCATTCCATTTGGTTATAAATATGATGCCATAGAAAAGTCTGAGCTTCTGAACTCAGGTGAAGTAGTACAGAATACCCTTGCTTTAAAGAACTACTTAATGTACAAATTCTGATAAAGGGGGGTTTTGGCCACAAAAGAGATGTCCATGGTGATGAATTGAGAGTTCAAGTTAATATACTGGCCAAACACATTAAAATGCATTTCAAAGGCAGCGACAAGTAGCTTGGGAGACTTTGTAAATGTATTGGTATTGTGAACAAAAGAACCTAAAGTGAAGCTTTGAGGGCACCCACTGAAGATACAGAACTGCTCTGTAAGAAACTGAATAAATTAATCCAAGATGTAGGCATCATATTAACCAAATGTACATTGCAAACATGACTGGCTTTCTGGCTTTCGCTCCCAGAGAACACCCAAGCATACAACCACAAGACTTTTGTGCCAGAACGGAAAATCAGCAAGGAAAGAATCTCAGTATTATTGTTTGCACATGCTGATGGCTTACACAGATTGACACACGCAGCTGTCACAAAGTCACAGTGGTCAAGGGTCCTCAAGGATATAACAATAGTTTATTACCATTCCAAACTAAATCAATTTTGATTCTCAATTTCAAGCTCAAAAAACACTGATCTATATCTTGTTGGTAATTTAACCAACGGCCAACAATACCAGATTCCCCTTTCCCTGTATTAG